TGTAAAAATCTTTACAAAATATCTGCAGTTATCTTTATATAATCTCTATTCATAATTCTATAGAAGAGATATCTAAAATTTTACAGAATTCTCTAGAAGACGTCTGACTTAGTTTATCGAAAATCGAGCCATAATTCTAAAGAATTAAGGCGTTTAACACTGGATTTTTTTTATAGAATTCTATAAGAGATTTTTGTAATGATCCACGAGTAGGAGGATAGAATCGTGCGCACCTCGAAATGAATTTTTTATTCGATTAAAATAATTACTTTATTAATCTGACATTGAAATGATTTTTTTAATTCAAATTGTATTTATTTATTGAAGCCGCTTTTTACGGATTTAGTGTATCTATCTTCGCTTAACAATCTGCGTGTGTTAAGCAATCCTCTGTGAATTTGAATTCAAATTAAAAACATCTGTTCTTGTTCTTGATAATGAAAGACTCTTGTTCTTGAAAGAATCATTGGATAACTTCTTTGATTGCATCGTTTACACACGATTTTCTCACTGAATAAACGTGACAAAAAATGAAACTCAATGAGCAATTAGGCCCACCAGCGGCCGAGCGGTAACGTCGCTGAACACTGGTAGTTCGGTCTGAGGTTCGAATCCCGCGAACGGATTGGTTGCATGGGTGTTTTCGTGGTTTTCCTCCCCATGTGTAACGTTATACGAGCCAGTTTCCCTTTGAAAGTGCTCCACGAAGGCGTCCCTTCCTTAAGGCAGATAGCCCTTGAGTGCTTTGCCGTAATCTAATAAACCAAGCCAAAACCAATGAGCAATTAAGAATCGTTTCCTCGTGAATTCTAAATAACTTTGTGCTTGGAAGAAGTACAAGGTTATTTAGAATAGCCTTGTACTTTAATTCTCAGAACAGACTTCTTAGTTTTAAATAAAAATGTGCAATGCTCTCGCCGGGACTCGGAGCTGCCGACTTTTCCGAATACGCATCGAGCATAGTTTTAGTTACACAGTGAAGGCACACGGAAAGGAAAGAGAAAATACCTTGCATACTGTCCCGTTTAAAATGTGACCCAGTCACCAATTCCTTATGGTGCTGAATTATCGTCCACCACCTTTTACTTTGGGCGCCATTTGTAGAGCCATTAGGTTACATCGAAGCAGGAATGTGAAAAATAAACAATGCCCTCCCTGAGACTTGAACTTCGGACCTTCCGAATACGCGTCCAGCGTGCTTCCAGTTACACCACGAAGGCACACGGAAAAGAAGAAATAAGTATCTCATAAAACTAAATTCATGAGTATGAACTAATGTTACATCACTTAAGTTAATTCTCTGCATCTATCTTAAAAAATCAAGACACATAAACACTAATATTCACTTTCCAAACCGATAGAAAATTATGACCGAAGCATAATATGTACCTGATATCAAAATGCATAATAATAAATAAATTAACAAACATTTCTTCGTCGTACTGGTATTGTAAGAATATAGTTGGTTTCTTTGCTAACGATGTAATGGGAAAAAGTTTCAGCTAAACTGAACGAGATTGGATAATATGTAATAATTAATTTTCATTCTATTTAAGCGATTCTAATGTTTAAGTAGAGTTTCCCTATAAAAATGAAAACAGACATAGCAATTTCTTTCGAGAAATTGCATAATTCGTGGTCACCGAACATTTGAATAACTTTTTCGTTTTTATAAATGGCTTATCCGCAAAGGTGTTTTATTATATTCACATCTAAAATGGCCAAAACCTCACAAACATTATTAAGCATCAGGAAAAAGTTGGCATATCAGATAATACTTGCTATTGTCAGAAAAACTTTTAAAAGCGCAATCGAAAAGTGTTAAATTTTATTGTGCATTAAATGCATTAGAGGAAATAACTGCTACAACAGCGCAAAGAGAAATATAAAGTACTGTAAACGCGTGCATATGGCTGACAAGTTAAGTATACCGGAAACATCCGGAAGGGAAAATGATTCCTAATAATTGATAAGAAATCACTTTCAAGTGGTAACCTCAAGAGACTAATTGATTCACTTTAAAAACCAAATCAGGTTAACAGAAATAGTAACAGAATAATATTAGAAATTAAATACGAATAAACAATAATAGAAATAGTAAGAATAAAAGAGTTTAATAAGACGGGAAATTTTTTGCCTATTGGCCAACATTCAAGATTAATAGACTTTAATTTAGGGAAGTGAAGGATAAAAAATAAAGGTGATTTTTGAGCCGAAGAATTTTTTTTCACCTCTACGTTTCATTGAATCCACAGAGCTTCTCAAAATTAACCGCCACTCATATTATAATTTGCTTCTTTAAAACAGGCATTCCGAGCCTGTTACTAACCCTTCTCATTTGGGATAGTAATTAATGTTCTCATCACCCCACAAAATTTATTTTCTCCACCTTATATGAAACTGTAGTTCGCACAATTTCCACGAAGCGAAAGATGCCAAAAACAGAAATGGAGTGAGGGGAAAAACTGGGCGATACAAACCATCTGCTGCAGCTGTCGTTGACATGGCCAAGCGGCGGAAAATTGATGGGGAAGTTTAAAGTAACAGACTATAGTACTGAGCAGCACTGTTATATATCACTAATATTCTTCCAACTAGGAAATTGAAAGAAATGGGACGATTCAGATAAAGTATTCGTTAGGTTCGAGTATCTTTTTCAAAGCACTCTTAAAATAGTCTTATAATTCATTTAAATGATTCGAAAATAAAACGAATGCGAATCTTATTATTATAGGCTTCTTCGAGGTGGAAAACTAAGATTTTGCTTTAATGGAATTGTAACAAATTAAAACGATGTAACTTTTTCCAGTTATATAGCAAATTTTTCCAGTTATACATTATATATAAATATATTTAGTTGCATTTCTAGAGATGAATTTCAAATGCAAGTTTTTTCTCCGCCTCATTATTGTTTTATGATGTCTTGCTATTGTTAGCCCAAAGGGGCGTTAGCCCAGAAAGGCTATTAGTCTCGAAACGGAATTTTACGTCGAATCACTATAAACAGCTATGTCAGTTTTAAAATTCTTGCCACCAAATATTACCACCGGTATTATATTTAAAGAAATTAAATAATTCAGAATCTTCATGAATGTATGTCTGTTACTCGCCTTGTAAAATATAACAAGGATACCTAGAGCCATCAAATTTTGAATAACGTAGTCCTCCATCCGAGTATAGACACCTGGAAGCCCGAATCTTGAATTTCGAATTTGCTTTATTACTATTTCATATTTTTAAACTTCAACAATTTTTTTATTAAGAAACTCAACGATTTTAAAGCGAGCAGTGGCTCTGTGAGGAATAAAATATTTTTATCTCCAGCTCTCGAGACTGTCCGGAAATTCTGGGAATGCCGGTTTTAAATATTTTTATCCCAAATGCTCTCGAAATGTGTATGTATGAGTAAATGGAAAAAAAAAAAAAAACGCCCCTTTGTGAGTAACATAATTTGAAAGCTTTCAGATTTAAAAAAAAAAAAAAAAAAAAAAAAAATGTTATTATTATTTCTGATTTGATAGCTTATCTAGTTGTGAGGTAATTTCAACGTTTATGCCTGCTATCGAGTAAGTTTTAATTTCGGTTTAAATGATGAATATTTGTTTTACTTCATTACCTATTTCAGACGATAAACCTTTGCGAGAGGGAAAATTATCATGACAGAATGAAATCAATTTTAATAATAATTTAAAGTTTTGGGGCGATGTTGACGACTTCTGCGATATATTTATTTGGCTACAATTATACAGGCGATAATCAATAAAATATGGAACTTGCGTAAGTATTGAAATTAAAGTCGTAACACGAATAAACTTTGTGATACACGGGGAATTCTTTGTGTTTTAATTTTTTTAAAAAAAATGTCTCGAATAAAGTTCAGATCTCACCAATAATTGCTATACTCACCTCTACTTCCTGTCTCAACTGAAAAACAAGCAAATTTTAAATACATTGAACATTAAACTTTAATAATGACGGATCAGTATCAACTATGAAAGAATATAATAATTATATGCATAGAAAAGATATATAAAACACATGGTATAAAGAGTTGTTTGGTTATGGATACTTAGAAAGTTTAGCTTAGTTTAGAAATCCGTTATCTTTCTTCTCTTATTATCTTTATTTATTTATTTTTCTGGTACAAACAAACATCATTCATTTTTCTGGCACTATATTAATTTCCAAACATCTGAATCATCCCTACGTTTTTCCTTTTTGAGGAGGGGCAGGGAGGCTTATGCGGCAAATAAGGACTTTAAGAAAAGAATTGTGATAATAGGTTATTGATGAAAACAGAATTAATGCTAAATGCAAGAATGGAAGCGAATTAAAAATAAATACTGGAACGGAAACGAATACAAATTACATATTCCCTGATACTTGAATTTCCTTACCAACCGTTTACAACTATCGTTTGAGGGTTTTGCTGTAACCTGCAAATATGCATAAGGTCCGCAAATTATCCTTTCTATTCCGAATCTTTAGTTAAGCATGTTATGGGTTGCTGTCTCTTCCTTTGCACATCGAAATTTATAGCAAATCCCCCCACTTTGCTGCCTTGAATGACGAATACTGGAGCATTATTATTTGTTATTCTTACGCTTTACTTCTTGGTTTTAAATGGGACACACATGCAAGATATCTGCTTATAACAAAATTCATTTTGCGGACATAGCAATCAGTAATTAAATGGTGGTAATTTTTATCATTAATTATGCTTTTTTATCGGATGAATATTATCATGTGAAACAGGGAGGATTTTAGCAACGAGGCAAAGGCCGAAGACATTGGAATCCGCAGTATGAGCAACGAATATACGGTTACCTCCCAGAATTTCATTCAGAGCCTGCATCTATTCATCTATTACGTAATGAATGTATCCTAGTTTTTTTTTTTTTTTTTTTTTTTTTTTTTTCAGCCTTTCCAGATGGCGCTCGTACTCATGTCGGGCGGCGTCTCTATCGCTGTGCTCGAAACTAGCGAATTCTCACGGTCAATAGTGTAGGTGCGGGAGTTAAACGAAAATCTGCGGCAGATGTGTGTGTATAGCGGAGGTAACAAACGATTTTCAAAATATACATGATGAAGAAGAACTATATTGAAAAAGGAACAAAAATGATCAAACTGAATAAATTTATTCCGGTCATCATCAATGCATGGATTTGTAAGTTGTGAAGAGCGTCTTTGAATCGTTAACATGTTTGTCCCTGCCTTTATTAATAACTTTAAATAAACCTTATATGTTTGAGGTGAGCTCCTGTTCCTTGTTTGTTGTCAATCAACCTTGTTGTAAGAGATTTTGAAAGAATGTATTAAAAACTTCTGCAGTGTATGAGGCAATGACATAATATCCCAGTGGATTCTTTAATGAAGTGTTTTACATCCTGTGTACTATGTTTGTGTTGTGCTTCATAACGTTGTGCCGTCTGTATGTTAAAATTAATGTATTAATTTTTCTAAGTTTTAATATATCTAAACATTTTTTAAGTTAAAAAAATATCACATAACTTAAAAAATGAGGAAAGTACTTCCTACATAATATCTATTGTAGTAATGATTGTGTGAGATGTTTCTCAGTTTGCTGTTTATTGGTGCTTTCAATCAATTCATCAAACTTAATATAAGATTTACTTTACCCAAGGTGGCCTACTTTCAGTATGCCAGTACTGAATGGGGGCTTCTTTTTCTGAGGCCACCTTGTATTTCAGTAGTTTTGTACTTTTAATGTACAATTTTTATCTAACAAACATAAACAAGGGGGGGGGAGAATCAGTGTTTTTAGTTACACTTTTATATTAATAATGTGTTTTAAATACATATCACATAATATCATGTGAATTTTATGAATGAGTATATTTTCTTTGTTTTCCCTTTTAGATATCCAAACAAAATTTAATTTATTCATTTCAAAGCTATGTTTAACACAGGATGCTAGAAAGTGAGTACTTTTATTTATTTAATCTTATTGTTAATTAATTTTGAAATCATTTTAAACATTAAGGTAATTAAAAAATAAATCTTTCCATAAAGTTTACTGTCATATTCCATCAGTAATGGAATATCAGAGCTCATACATTAAATTTTAAAGTACAACTGGGCTAACTAAGATACTTATTTTTGCATAGAAGCTGAATGGTAGACTCTATAAGTCTATGGTTTATATAATATGTGAAGATAATTATGGTAAATTAATAAAGCATGCAAGATGAAAGTTAAGTTTTGGTTATTAGATATCAAAAGTTGATTAATTCATTTAATCTGTGTTATTTTAATATTTGATTACAACTGATTACAGTTAAATTTTTAGATGATATTAACAGATTATTCAATCCAAATTTCTCTTCTTGTCCTGCAATTGTTTATCGTTTCTGATCTATCATCTGTAAGAATGTTAGTAACTGTTTTGGTTGAATTTCTTATACTTTTGAGGATTATTATTTGTTAATCTTATTAAGCTATAATGAATCTATTTTACAAAATTTTACAGATAACTTTGGTAACTGTAAGGTTGAACTCCTCACAAACAGGCTGGTTGTATGGGCATTTATATTTTTGTCCATGCATGATGTAAATGTAAGCCAGTATCCCTTAGAAAGACCTCCTAAACTGAATTTTCCCCTTTAGACAGAGAACCAAGTTGATTTGCCAGAATCCAAACTAATAAATCCAAATTAAAAACAGTTTTTTATTTCTAAAAATATAGTGACTAAAAAATTTTCATTCTTTGTCTTATTATAATTCATAGCTCAGAAGTTTAAAAGTGTTCATTGTGTTGCTTGTATCTCAGTGGCAATGCCACAGTAATCTAAAACATTTATGATCTTTTTTGACATGTGAAGACAGTGCATAAATATTGTCACTGAAGATTTACTCCTTATTATAGTGTTAATAATGGGTATTAGGAAATGGTATAAATTACATTTCTTTTTATAGTAAAGAAATAACAATTAATAAAGCATCAAAAGTAAGGATAATTATCATAACTATACAAATATCATTTAGATATACTTTGTGGAAGAAAAGCATTTTAAAGGTAATGTGATAGAAGTGGTTTTAATTTGCACCTGCAAAGTTCATAACAATCAGGCATTTTAATGAAGTGTTATTTTTAAAGGATATCTTGGCTATATTGTATTTGATTTTTAAAAATGATTTATATACAATTGATATTTAAATCTCCCTTCTGAACTTTTATAATTATTGCTATTATTTTTGGCTAAAATGAAAAGATTGATCCTAAAAGCTTAATATTTACAAATTGTTTGACAAATGTGTTTGTGTATTTGTAGTAGTTTTTCTCATGGGTAGAGTGTCATTTTCAGCCATTTAATTTCTATTTCTTTGAATAAAGATTACATTTAAAACAAACCGTATTTTTCATCTCCTAAGAGTATATTTTTAATAGTGTATTAATTTTCTCATGTGATATTGCTTTAATTTCAGCTTTTTCTTATTCCATACATACAAAAGAAAAATGACTCATATATTACCTACACCACCAGATATATCTTTGTATAAAGAAGATGAAATACCACCACATCTGCGAGAAGTTGCAATTTTAACAGGTTATCGATCGCCTTCCAGTTCTGTCAAAGACTGTGCACTGAGTGTTTTTGTTGCCACAAATGAAACATTGAACTTTTGGACTCATTTCATTCCAACATTTTATTTTGTGTATCAGTTCCTTATGTTCTGGGATGTTCTTAAAGTTATTACAGATTCTTACTACTGGCCTTTGGTTGGGTACATGTTTACAATAAGCCTTTATCCACTTATCAGTGCTTTAGCGCATACCTTCTGTAGCACCTCTGATATGGCCCGTCATGTCTGGTTTTTTCTAGATTATGGTGGTCTCAGTTTATATGGTTATGGAGCAGGACTATTGATTAAAGCATATGCCTTCCCTGAAGAGCTTCAAGGAACTATTTTTGGAAATTTTTATTTAGAAATTTTGGTGTTTTTAACAATTACATGTTCCGTATCTGCTTGCTTTTCTCGATTTTTGACAAGTTTATGCTGGATCAAGATTTTCCGCTTGGGGGCATTTGCTTTACCATGGCTTTGGGATAGCATCCCAGTTATTTACAGACTTAATTGCAGTTCAGACCTAAATCCAGCAGCAGCTGAACACTACAACCTTCAGTTTTTCTTCTCATTTTGCATTGGATTTTTCTATGCATCTCATCTTCCTGAGCGCCTTGCACCTGGGAAATTTGATTTTCTAGGTAACAGTCACCAGTTACTTCACATTTCAGGTATATTAGCAACTCATCATCAAATGAACGCAGCAATCATTGATATGAAGAACAGGAGGGAAATAATGGAAAATAAATACCCACTGCCTGAATATTGGTCTGTTCATATATTTTTATTAGTGTTTTTTAGCATATTTGTGACAATTATAATTTTTATACTTTGGGCTAGACATTATGAAAATAACAGAGAAGATCCTAAAAGAGAAAAGTGATATGAATCGTTGATTTAAAATTACTTTAAGGTCTAAAAAAATGGCATTTTGTGCTGACTTGAATTATAAAGAGCCAGATAGTTACTCTACCTCAGAATTATAGACTTATTAAAGACTGGCCATTTTTTAAATTTGAGTACTAACAATTTCATATTCATTTGCTAGATTTATTTCATATTCATCAAATAGCCAACAACTGTGCTTTGTATCAGCAAGCAGATTTGATGGACAATTCTAAGCAATGAGCATATCATAAAACTAATTAAAAAAATTAATCATATTTAAAATGTACAATAATTCGTTAAAAAGCATTATTTTGTAATGTTTTTACAATGCAAATCAACATGTGTTGTTTCTTCAAGAATTGTTTTGACTGGGTATGCATTCTACTCAAAAGCTATATAACACAAGTGTTTCTGATATGAAAGTACCATATTTTCTTAAAGAAGGAAAGGCTATTTTGATATTTCTGTACTAATTAAAATGAAAACTGTGGCATTCGTTTGACCGTTGTCTTGCAAACTTATTATTTTAGGATTATATATACAAATTGGTATTATTGTTATAAGCAAATTTTTTAACTTTGTCATTTATTTGTAAATAATGTACCTGATTTTAACTTTTGAAATGATTAAATTATCTACGTATTATTTTAACATTTCATGCTTTCAATATTAAATTTTTTATGTAACTATTAAAGAATTATAAAATAAAGCCCCTTTCACATGCCACACAATATAGATCTTGTGTTCATTAGTCTTAATTAATTCTAGATATTTACATAGCCTGTCAGCCATGAAAGTTGGATACTATCAAACCATGAAAGTTAGCGTAGATCCCACCAAAGCTGCACTAGATGTTTCTGTGGAATTCTGAAAGAGCTGATGGCTGTTTATTTAAAAAAATAATTAGAACTCGATCTGCTTCGTTTTTGCTGTAATGTGAAAAGGCTTTCATCAGTTTCTGTTATTTTGTGAGGTGTTCTGATTTTACCAGAAGATCTGTATAGAAACACTGAGTACAAATTTCTCACAGGTGCTGCCCAACCGGTATAATGGTTAGCATCACTGACTGCTGTACCGAAGAAGGCATGGATATTTGTAAATGTTTAGAGTCCGTGCGGCACTCTAAATATGCGGTAAGCTGAAAGTCCTTTTGAGAAGTTTGTGGTATGGGAAGAGGGGTGAGAGACCCTCGGACCTGTCACCCTGAGGTGCCCTCCATCAAAATTGGTGGCAGAACTGAGCTAAACCACACTGTCACCTGTCAAGGCTGTTGCAAACGGCAGGCATAGCTTACGCTCCTTGGTTAGACAAATGAGGATTAGCAGCAACAACTTCCCACAGGTAATTGTTCAAGTATCTTTTTGTTTCATTGGCCATATTCATCTGACTATATCATGTCCATTAATACACTTTTTTTTGCTGGTACAATCCCATAACTAAAAATAATCGACTGCGTGTTGTTCTGGAAAAGGCATATTCTAAATCTGAATCTTTTTTTTTTGAAAATATAAGAACGAAATACCACAGTAACAGTCAATGTATATGAAGGTGGCTTATCGAGAATCAATCAGGGTTACATCAAAAGAAAGGTATTACGAGTGTACTGTGATGTCGTGCTTATTCATAACTGGCACTAAATCATGATGTTTGGTAACATTTTGATGGCTGACAGGATAATAAATAATAATTTTATGATTTTTTCCAAGCAGACATTCAGATATTTAAAAAAATATACTTCAATACAGTCAAACCTCAGGTTACAAATGTAATTCATTCCAGAAGGCCATTAATCATTTGAAATATTTAAACTTTACAAAAAGTACTTTGGGGATAAGTTCATAACATAAAAATGAGAGAGAAAAAAAAAAAAAATATAACATCAAAATGCTAAATAGTCAAGCACAGATTCAATTTAATGTTACTACCCATATTTTTACAAAAGAAGGTGGAATGTGATGATGTAGAGATGTTTTTATTTGAATGAGGAGTGCCCTTCCATAAAAACATCTAGTAACTGTTTTTGTAGGGCATTTTTAATATTTTCTTTGTCTCTTAGTGTTCAAGTTCTGCTTGAAGTTCATTAATCATCTCTTTTACTCAATTTGTCCAGTGTGAATTGTTGTTTACATTTTAAAATTTCAAAAATGAATCATGGCTTTATCCTTGGAAATGTTTATGCTGAAGTTTGCTGCTGCTGTATGAGGGTAATATTGTTATTAGAAACATTGTACCTCGCTCCATTTTGTGCTTTTGAAGTATCAAGTACTAGGATCATCTTCTATAGACAATTCCTCCACTGTTGCTCTTTCTGAAGTTTTCCATTTTTTTTAGTCAAGCTCATTTTATGCTCCTCTAGTAACTCAACATCTCCGTTGTCAATTTCCAGTTTCATGATTTTGTCTAGAAACACAAATCGTAAATAACTAAATAAAATAAAAAAATCCTTAGTCTCAAGGTTTTTCTCTACAACACAATCTGGGCGTAATTTCATACAGCCTGAATTTATGGTTCTGTAAGTAACCTACTGTAATGCTTTGCTAATAACAGTTAAGCAATGGAACATGTAAAAATGATATTTACTATAAGTATCTGAATGTTAATTCTGCGTCAGAGGCTTACCTGGAAAAACTTTTGAAAATCATTTGTTGTTGACTTCAGTATTCCTATAGTTCATCGACCAAGACGTTTTTTATTTACCATCTGAGGTTCCACTGTATTTCTTATATATGAAATTTCTTTTTATTTCATCTTTACCAAATAATATAACCATTTAATAGTATTATTCTTAATACTACGTTAAATTTTGAATGCTATTGTTGGTATAGAATGCAGAGCCACAGCTAGGTTTTCAGCACCAGGGAATAGCTGAAGATTTTGCGCTTCCTCTTGTTTGCCGAGAATGGGAAATATTTCATTCTAAAACTTTGTAACATCAATTTGGCACCCCCTGGATACTGCACTCTGGGACAGATTACCCCCTTGCCCTTCCCTAGCTATGCCACTGATAGAATGAGAATATTTTTTTATTAAAATTTATCTGGTCTTACTAATAAAACATGTTGTATAAATTTTTGTAACATGTTGCTTGAAATTAGTGACTTTTTAAGTTTTATATATGACTATTTTTTATAGAATACATTGATATTTGGGAAGTTTTTAGAGTAAGATTTGCAGTTCTTTACTGACTGCATGTCCAGATTTGTGCCATAAAAGCATATCTGTTAGTCACAACTGTAAGTCTATTTTTAACTTGTATTAAATGTTAAAAATATATATGTGTGATCCAAAAGTAAAACTAAAAATTCAATGATTTTGAAAAGTATAGACATTAGCTTGATGTGGCTTTCATGGAAATAAGAGATTTTTTTTTTAATAATGAAAGATTTTATTACCAGAATAATTATATTTTTCACTGACGGGTTTTGCTTCAGTGGTGTCAGAAGTTTGTACAGTGGCACAGCACAATCTACAATGCAGCTGGGATTACGAATGTTTTAATACGATGGCTGGCAAACAACATATGAAGCTAATCTTGCCACCCCTTTCAATATGACCAATAATGTTAGACAATGATTTCAAGTAAAAAAATGCAACTATTCTGGCAATAAAATGTTTCATCCCCCCAATTTTTTTCCCTTCGAAATCTGCATTATATTACTTTCTACACTTTTTTAGTTACTAAATTTTTACTTTTGGATCTCTCTGTATTTTCTAGTGCATATTTTTACGAGACTATTTAATTGAATGGTTTTTTACTTTTGTATTAGTTGATTAAAACTTTTAATGTTGAATTTTTGTTTTTAAAAGAGAGAGCCTAAAGTAAAGGTAGCTACAAATGTTTCATTTTGTGTTAAAATTTGTTGTTGAATGCTTTGTAAATTTTATACTTTATGAATTTACACCGGTGACTATGATTGCTTTCTTCAGAAGCTTCATGAATTCAATCTTATTATATTTTATAAATTATTATTTTTTATGGATCTAACCCAGTGACTATAGAAATTATAAATTTTTAAAATTTGGCATTCCCCTATATTTACTTTTAGTGTGCAACTCATTTTCTAGATCAAATTAAAAAAGTAGTATTAAATTTACCATTTTAATTACTTAATTGAAGATGTATTTGACTAAGTAGTAAATGTGTTATGTTAGAATACACAATTCAGTATTTAAACAAAAAATAGCTTTCATTGCTCAAATATAAATGCATTTTGATAAAAAGAAAGTTTTAATTTCGACAGCATCGAGTCTTACGAGCATTTCCTCGATATCATGATTTTGTATTAAGTTGTACATAAAAATCAATGACATACTAAGGTTGAATTTTGCCTATTTTTTAAAATGTTATTTGATATATATATTGTAAATACATCACTTTCCTCCCATTCTTTACTGCCATTATATTTAATCTTCCTGTTAAGTAGCTTGAAATGATTAATGTATTTTAATATTCCTATATTACTTCAAATGTATCTATTTTTTTGTATGTAGTGCAGTTCATATGGAGTGAACGAATACATGTAAATAATTGTTTTTTTGTTCTTTTATACATTTTAAATTTTGATTTCTGTTGAAACATACTTTATAAAGATATATGCAGCTAAACCTTTTGTACAAATTTATACGCTGGAAATTTTCATCGTTGTTTGCATTATGGGTTTAAAACAGAAATATGATGCATTTGTGAAATGTATACACATATTACAAAAATATTAAGTGTTACTAGTTATTGAACTCCTCAACAAAACTACAGATTATAAATCTAGTTTCCTGAAATTTAACTAAAACATTAGCCATAAACATTTAATTTAGCATACAAAATAAAATGCTAAGTTCTTGCATATTTTTATATTGGAATAATTCTATATAACTAGGATTATTTTTTGTCTGACTTTTAATTTTTATAATCTGCAGCAAAGTTTTATCCTCTTATCAGGCAATTTTTAATACGAGTTGATAAATACAAATGATAAAGTTGCTCATGTATGTTCTTCATAAGTTTCCAAACGGGTAATTTGTTCATTTCCAAAGTGAAATGTTAAGTATTGTTGTTTAATTTGTGATAAAGCACAAGTTGAAAACAGAAACATTTCAGGAGAAAGAAAATTTTTGTTATAAAATTTCAACCATTAGGCTGTATTAAAATTAAATGGCAAATTCAGTACCAAGTTTATTTCTAATTATACCTTTTAAAAATTTTGTGTGTTCTAGTTTTTTTGACTTGTGAATTTTCGCACAATAAATGAAAATACTTTTTAAACTGTTATTTAGTCGTTTATATTTGCAGTGAGTGTGAAACATCTGTTGTAGGAAGTTATTTTGAAATAAACTAATTCATAAATGAATGCCTTTAGCATAAAAAACAGTGACATATCTGAAAACATACATATTCATTGAATTTTTTATATAGCTTTTTTATAGAAATTTCAGATAAAACAGATATTAAGTATATGATTTATTAAGAATTAAACATTCAGTCTTTCAACCTATGGAGAAAGAGCTTTTTATGGGAAACTAACCTGTATTCACATCATTTTGAAAAACTTGTCATCTTGTTGAACTTGACAAAAATTATCCAGTATTCAATATGATATAAATTTCTAGGTGTATCTACAGGTATCTGAACTCTGTTTAACACTGCTATAAAAGGCCAAACTGTTGCCATACACTGCATGTAACTCATGTTATATAGTAAGCAATATTTGTTTATGAAATGAAATTGAAAGCTATACAATCATTTATATTTAGCTCCATATTGTAAATAAAAAAAATATTGGTTAAAGAATTTTGTATAGTATAACATGCACCACACACTAATTGTGGGGGGAGGGGGAAATCTGCAATTCCTTTGTTGTTGCGAAAGTTTTCTGAACACACAGCATTGACCAAGACGGCAGAAAAGATTAATATAGGCTACAGTTGCACAATATTGGAATTTGCCAAACAACCCTGACACATGCATACTTATATTGGACTGCAGGTATATTTGAATTAATGAGTCAAATAATTTTAAGTGATGCATGTCTACTGGTCTTCGCATTGGTTATGCATAAAAACTCTGAACTGTTATTTTTTTGCATAATTCTTGGTAAGACAGTTTACTGATAATTGCAATAATTGTACAGCTTGGAGCTTTCTTTCTAGAAGTCTTACTTGCTTATGTTATCATAGAAATGCACACATATGCCTTCAACTGAATGAAATTATTGAACAAGGTTTCTTAACATTCATTTCGTGATATTACAATAAAGGGGAAAATCAGAAACACCGAGGACATTTTTTTTTTTTTTTTTTTAATGCTTAGAAAACCATTAGAACACCATTTTTTGTTTCGAAAAATTAAAAGTTATCCAAATCTTAAAATTGTATGTGGTAAAAAAAAATTTGAATAGCCCTATATATTTTCACCTTAATTATATACACTTTAATGAAAGAATTTTTTAATTACCTGTTAGTACTGAATTATAGTTTAAAATAATCAGATTCATTAACTATAAACAGACATATAACAGTGAGCAGTTGCTCAAATAACGTTGGTCCATGGAATTGCTGCACATGTGGATTAATTTCTCGACAAAGGGCCTTTTAGAATAAACGGAATTCCTGCACTATGCAACATCATTTTTAAGGTCAGTTTGATTCACTATCGTATGTCATATATTAGTCACAAGAATATCTAAATGTATTGAACACCTTTGAAACCAATGTGCAGATATTAGTTTGATACATCGTTTGATAAATAAAATTTCATTAACTAATCATATTTTATTCAAAACTGTTTATCATACTTGAAAATTTTTTAAATTTGTAGATTTCTTATTTGACACGAAACCTTGCCACCCTTCATATGCATAATTTTCCAAAGGGTATCCCTACAACATAATTCACATATAACTTTATAAATACAGTCACCTGAATTTTTATATCAGTAAATTTTGCAAGCTTAGAAATCTTTCCATATTTTTTTGATTACTACTATATTGGAAACACATTATTATAACTAAATTTATTTTAAATTAAACTTTTGTTAGATCTAGTTATTGAATTTTTGAAAATGGTAGTAGGGAAAAGGTAAAAATCTTCTACATAAATAACAAGGCAGTAAATTTGTCTGTGTACAAAACACCCTTCCAGGATACAAGGGACAAACAAGTATGCTTGTAATCTAGGTTAGTTTTTGGTGTAGTGTAAGTTATATGAAAATATTAATCAGCACAAAAAGCAACTAACTTTCATATTATAAACATTTGCTGAAACAGTTTTTGTTCGCTTTTATTTAATATACATTAAAGCAAGTTGATATTACATCTTTTAATATGCAAAATTTCATACATTAAGTTTGTTAATTCACTTTTATTTTATCCTATTTTGTTACGGCCATTAAATACTCATTTTACAATATGAATGATGCTTAGATTATATAAAGGAAGTCCAAAATAAGTGTACAGTTAAAATACTAATTTTTATTAAATTTTGACAATAGCATATGAGAATTTACAACTGAAGGTATTTAGTTTCTCTGAAGCAATTGACCTGTTTCATATAAAGCTAAATATTCAGAGAAAATATAAATATTGGTTGATGAAAGAAATATTGAAAAATCAAAAACAATATGTACACCTTAAATTTAGCAAGATATGAATCAGATGTAAAAATGCTTTAACTAAGCATGATTTACTTAACACAAACATTGACAAATATTTTAATAGCTTTAACTACTGTATGAATCAGTTATAAACATCATATACACATTCCACCTTCCTTATTCGTTACAATATTTCATCAGGGGATTTTTTATCTCTAGCTTCAGTCCAAGCTTTAGCAATGGTCCTTTTCATGTCATCATCACCATCTTCATACATCTGCTTCATCAGATTCATTAAACTCTGGCTAGGATCTTCATCTTTATTATATTTTGGAGCTCTGTAAAATAATTCATGGGTAAGTAACAAAAAATCTGACCTTACTTTTAAATTCAAACATCATTTATAAAAAAAACTACCACACACAGATATTCTTGAAAACACTTTGATTAAATAGCTTTGACAATTACACAGCACAGAAAATATTTCTGATGAAATTTAGACAAAATGTTCTAGCAGAACTTCAAAAATGCATTTTTCTTAAAATCTAGCTATTTTTTAAAAATTTATTGCAAAGGTAAGTAGTAACAATACTTACCTTCATAAAAGTTTACATTATGGGGGAAAAAACATTTATTTCATATAAACTGTTTTTATTACAATAGCCAAATAAACTTTTTCTTTGCCTCTGTTATGAAAACAACAACTCGCATCAAATTGTGAAAATATTGTATCCTCTCCTCAATTACAAACTTATGATGAACTAATTTTTTTTCAGAAAAATTTTGTAAGGCAAAACTGTATTATTCTTGATATAATGGACTAACAGCATACACTATAATTGAATTATTAATGCATGCTACATCTGTATATTGTATTGTTACTCTGTGTGCATATATTTTGTTTACTGAAGAAAATTTTAAATACATGAAAACATAAAACTTAAGGCCAAACTGCATTCAACAACTTGAAAGCAAATATCTGATCGTAGCAAAAGTTTTCCACCAAAAAACATTTTTAATAAAGTTAGTGGAGGAAAAACATGAAATCAGTGCCTTCAGTGGTAGTAATCACCACCCAAATCTATATTTTGGTCTATGAACATTTTAATAGCTTTTCAAAGCCTTTGGACCAGAAAGTTGGTGGCCACGAATCCAAAAACAGGTCAACCTCATTTTGCATGTCCTGTGCAGAATAGAAGACAGCACCGGCAAGACGTAGCTGCACGCGTAAAAAGAGGTACAAGTCCGAAGGAGCAATGCTGGGGCTATACGGTGAACATAGCAAAAGATCTCATTCAAGTCCGTACAGATTTTCCAGCCAGTGAATGCAGACACGTGGTTTCGCATCATCTTGATAGAACATTACCTTTTCCGCTGGAGTTCGATGTTTCCCTTGATAGCGTCAACACGGACTAGCATCTCACAGTACATCTTACTGTCAAGGGTTTTAACCCTTTTCCAGATACTCTTTATGGATAAATACCATATCAATCTGACCAGATACAAAGGATAATCTTCTTGTTAGTCAAATTGCACTTTGGGAAGCTGATGACGGACACAAATGTTGTTGAAATAAATTCACTTTTCATCACAAGTGACGATCCGGTCCAGAATTTTCTCCTTATGTTGATATTCAAGCAGATTAGTGCAGGCCCAACACGTCTGTTTTTATTGGCTTGAGTCAGTTTATGCAGCACCCAGTAATTGAACTTGTATGCCAAGCTTATGCATTGCATAGCGTGACTAATGGGCATGGCACTAACGTCTAACTCCTTTGCAAGATCTCGAGTGGTTGCATACTGATCTTCCACAAGTTTTCACAGGACAGCCAGAGCGTTCTGCTTCTTGAACGTCATATGATACATTAGTACCTAAAAGCTGTGAACATATTTTGGCGATATTATGAAGCTGACCTTTTGCAACAGAACTAGAAGTCAATGATGGTTTTAATCTGGTAGTGTGATAGTTCCATTTCAGATACCTTGTACTTAATGATATTTCTTTACAAATTTCACAAACACAGTGTTCCATAGGATGTTCAAATGCCAAAAATACAAATTTTATAAAACAAACCCAACTCCTTTGAATCTTTCCAACTTCTATCCTAATGCACATACATATAGTATTATAAATAAAGATGGCTAATGCTTAGATATGCTTGCACAAAGTACCTTAAAATAAAATACAGTCAAAAGTCGTTAATCCGGACTCGTCGGGACTTCGGCGATTCCGGATTATAGATCATCAGTTTAAATCTCGTAAGATGGCATGCAGAAATTCTAAAATTAAAAATATGAAACCGTAATTTATGAAATAAAGAACAATTATGATATAAAGGGTATCAAAATTTACAAAACAAAAGCTTAATATTTATTTGCTTACTTTATTAAGCATTTCTTTCAATGTAAGTTAAGTTGCTTCGTTTTATGTGATAATACTTTCTCTTTAATTCTATAAAGACATAATTCTTGTTCAGTTACAAAATTCTGCTGTTCAAGTCCCGTTAATTGCTGTGCCGAGAATACCGACTAACTTGTCAATCGAAATTTTTTCGTTTTCACTAACCTCTCTGTCACATTCTTCATGTCTTTATCCATTTTTTGCAGCAATTCCACTTTTTGTTTGATGGACATCGAAACATATTTTCGTTTTGTACGATCCTTTGGGAGCTCCAGAATCGGAAATTCTATTTGACATAATCGAAAGTTCAAGTTTACTTTATAGTATTGCTCTTACAGTCTGCAAAAAATAATAAGCTGGATCCAATTCGAAAATTAAGGAACAACGCAATCATCAAAATTAACTGAAATAGAAAATTTTAGCTTATACTGTCCGTTATACATAAAATGCGCACGCAAAAACGTATTCTGCACTTGTGCACACGCATATGCACAGACGTAAAAGGTTTTATGCGCATGTGTCAACGCGGCGCTTGCGCAGAAAGTTTTTAGCTTTGAGGTCCGGATTATGGGTGTCCGAATTAACGACTTTTGACTGTACCTAATTTGACATATTTTGGATTATTTACTAATATTTCCTTTTACGTAAATCTGTTATTCAAGTAAATTATCACTTCTGTGTTTATCACTTCACTTTATTATCACTTCTGTGTATATTTTAAGACAGTTCTGTTATATTAAAAACTGGTTTGGGCTACCCTTCGAGTATTACAGGTTTGGCCCTGAAATTTCAAAGTTCCTCAAAATGTCATGAATAAGTGGTATTTTCTTGATTTTAATTCAAAGACTACTTTCTCACTTTGTACCTCGATTCCTTTTCTTCCAACATACCAGGGTTGCCACTTGAAGAAGAGAATGAAATTCCCTGACTTTTCCAGGTGTGCTTTGAGAAAATTCCAGTTTATCCGCATAGTGCGCGTTGGCTGCGCTGAGAGGTACATTAATTATGGTACCACTTGATTTAGGTTAGGTTATTTAATTACGACAAAGCCTTGAGGGCTATCTGTCTAAGGAGAGGGATTTCTAAGGGAAACTGGCTCGTATACACATTACATGTGGGGAAAACCCATGCAGCCAGCCCATTTGCGGGATTCGAACCTCGGAACCAGCGTTCAGCAACTTTGCTGCTCGGCTGCTGGTGGGCCTGGTACTACTTGAAAAACACAAAAATTTGTCAATTGCATGTGACTTATTATAGCTATAATAGTTGTTGTTTTCTCCACTGAAGATTGAGATTAGAATTTGCCCAATCTGGATTAAAAAATGAGTTTTTTTGCAGACATTTCGCGGCTAAACGAAAGAAAGAAATCTATTTAATATTTTATTTTTTATTTTACTGCAAAATGAAAAAAAGTTTAAAAGATTTTGCAGTAAAATCCTAGTGTTTGATACGGCCTTTGTACATTTTTGAAAATTTTGAATTCTCGCAGTCAGGTTCTGTCGCCAAATCGCTTGGTGAGTTTTTCCCTCCATTTTCTAGCGGCACTCTAGCAAACTGATTTACATTATGTCTATGGAACCTTTCTTTTTTTTTTTACGTAGACATTCTTGCATTAGAAGAGTACATGGGGGCAATTCTAGCCTCCATGGCATATTAGGATTAAACCGATTTTGTTGTATACGAGAATGGGAAGGTATTTTCTTTAGTTCAATATAACCTGCACATGCTAGCCATAGGATTCTTGAGGTTACTGGAAACTTGCTTTGCCTTTCTAAAAGACAATCTGACTTGAGCTACGAAAACTGGCTCCATACTAGCTGCCCTAATTACGATCATCAGATACATAATTCGCCACCAAAGCCATCGCTTCCAACATTGGCGCAAAACTCTCTTTTCGGGAGATCGCCGTATGACATTCCCCGACTTTTCCAAATTTTGACTTAAATATTTTAATTCCCTGACTTTTTCCGGTTTTTCTGGTAGTGTGGCAACCCTGACATATGTCCAAATTGAAATCAGATCTAGCAGAAATTTTCATGCCGTAACACTGAGAGGGTTAAGAAAAGTACCACTTTTGGTTGTCCATTAAAGACTGTTATAAGCTTCCTAAAATGTACCACTTCCAGTTGTCCAATTTTATCCAAAATCTAATGAATTCTACATGAATGAAAAAAGCTTAACTACAGGGGAAAAATTTTTTTTAGAAGTTTCAAATAAAACTTGTTGTAAACTTAAAAATAATGACACACAAATATACACACAGACAGACATCATTGTAAAAATAGTAAAAACATACTATGGGGACCCTAATTTCTGGACTGAAAACACTACAGCCTGCCCTTACCTACTATATAGGTTGGCGGGAGGTAAAAACTATACTGACATTCCTTGACTGTAGGAAAAAATAATCAAAATTCAGATTAGACACAATAACCAATCTCAGAATCAGGTCTTTAAAGTATCAGTTTTAGAAATATTAATATGTATTTTCTATCTGTTAGATCAGAAATTCAAATACCAATTTTAGGAAAGTATTAAATTCTTTTTAAAGAAAAATAAGACCTATGTTTTTCATGAGCAATTTTTTAACTCTGCTGAAATTGTGTTACAAAATGGAAAGCTGTTTGAATATGCAGTTGCTGTTTTAGAGACACAGTTGTTGCTTCTAAATAAAAAGATACAATAGATGTTCCACTTACATTCATTTAGTAACAAATCATGAAGGATATAAATCCATAACATGCTGAAAGATGAACACATGGAAGGTTAACAATATTAAGCATACGTTTAATATAACATGGTGTATATTAGAGTAAGGCTACAACAGAAATGCAAATATTTATTGGACTACTGTTGCCAATGATGGCACTGACCAAACCTTCCCATTTTGCATATTGAATATTTAAAATTATAACACATCTTTGGATTGCTGAAACATCAATGTAAGTTTGTCCATGCCAAATTATCACAATACTATGTTAAATGTGATGATAGGTTAAAAAACCATGTAGAACGAAATTTAAACATACACTATTCTCCAAAAGAGACTTACTTATGTTCTTTTGATTTCTTCTCAGATTCAGTAACATATGTCCAATTGTCTGAAGATTTTTTTTTTAAATACAACACAACCATATCTGTCTTTACCTGTAAGTATTAATGTTGCATATAATTTATTTACTCATAATAAAGAAATAATTTAAAAAATGTATGCTGGAAAATACACATATAAAACTGTCTCAGCTTTAAAAACAATGTTAATTACATCTTTCAAATCACAATACACATAAAAAGAAATATACCATATAGTTTCATAAATGACTTTTGGTATTTGTGTCAGTCATGCACAAAATAATTTTACGTGCCAGCAAAAACTTAAGCCCATAAAATGTTTACTGCTCATTTTAGAGAACAAAGGCTCAAAATAATAAATATTTAATTTATAAAAGTTTAGTCTACTTAATCATTTGTATCTCTGTATGGGCAGGATTACTAAATATGCGACTTAATTTTGCAGCTGGTCCACACACAAGTATTTAACTTTTTAAATTAAACCATGATATATGAGTACAGTACAAAGCCCAAGATTTGGAATTTTCAGAACTTCAGCTATTCCAAATTTTGGACATTTCTGGGTTTCTAGCTAATCAGTTTAAATCTAGTTTTAAGTTGACAAGTAGACATACCAACACCGGGGCTTCCTTTACTGTTTAACGAAGTACAGTACTGAGACCCGGACTTCTGGATTTGGGAATTTTCCAAATTTTTAGATCATCAGTTTAAGTCTAGTAGGATAAAATGTAGAAATTGCAAAAATAAAAAATCTAAAACCATTGTTGAAATAATGAAGCATTCACAACCTTGAAGGAATCACAATTAACAACAACAACAACAACAACAACAAAAAATATCTATTTTGCTTTTATTTTTTTTGTGCTAATACTTTCTTCTTAAGTTTATAGATAGGCATACTTCTTGTTCAGTAATCAAGTCCTGTAATTACTGAATCAAGAATTCCCACTAAACTGACAATCAAATTTTTTTTTTTCATTCTTAACAACCTTAGTGTCATTTTCTTCATGGATCTAAATTTAAGTTCTTTATTTAGCTTAAAATAATATGTTTAATACCTTCTTCCTGTATAGCATGAATACCAATTTAAGTACCCTACAAAAAAATCTAATACCAATGTTTTATTTTCACTACAAATTATCAGCTGCTGATATTCCATATACAAAAGAAAACATGCAAAACTGCTTCTTTATTTTAATGTTTTAATTATTTGTAATTACATTTACATAGACTCCAACCTTCAGCAAACCTTGTCAGTAGTCAACGCGCGAACGACATTTTTACAACTTTGAAAATGTGCGCGTAGCGTATGTTGTAATTAACCATTCATTAATTTTAAATTAATAATTAATTGTAATCAATTTTATTACATTTAAAATCCATATACATATAAAACTGAATAATTAAAAATATACCTTGTAAATTATATGCACATTTAATTAGAAATTTTCTTTTAACTCCTCAAGCATTCACTAATAAAAAGTACTTCAAATCACTACTAATCATAGAAAAAATCAGAAGCTATAAATCATATCTTTATTCTGGATATGATTTCTACAGGGAAATAAAATTTAAATAACCAAGAATGATACATATAAGTATTAAACAAAATACGCATAATTTATGAATGCAAAGATTTATATGTAGCATGCTTAGCAAGCTTGAGTTCTGATTTTGAGAATGTTTTTTTATAACACAGTTCTTCATTTGCCTGCATATTTATTTTTTCAATCAAAACTGCTTCAAGAGTTTTAAGACCTAAATTTGGTCGAAATTCCGTCTGATTTTTTTTAACAATAGAAAAAATTCTTTCGCAAGCTGCATTTGAATGAGGTATTATTAAAAAAGCAAGCATTACAGAAGGCAATGCTTTGTATTTAATACACCCATTCATATTTTTTAATTTGGCAATTTCTCCCCATGCTATATCAATACACAAATCTACAATTTCTTTCAAATCATCTACTTGATACATGGAAAATTCAATTTCTACTTGATTAAGACATTTTTCATCAATAATGGATGGAAAAGTATTCATCAAGTATAGAACAGATGAAAATGAGACTTCAGTTCTCAAGTTGATGTCAGCAACTTCAGCATGTTTTAGAAATGGATCACTCAGTGGAAATTTATCAATTATATATGAACATGCAGTTACAAAAAAAGCTCGCACAGAATTGAAAAATGATTTCACTTCACTTTCATTCAACTTGGCATTTTTTAAATATAGTCTTGTTTCTGTACCAATCACTAAATTTTCATTTTCTTTTTGTTTACTATACTTCTGAAATGGAATAGACGTTAGAGTAACATTTCATTTTCTTTAGAAATTACTGATGGTTTTACGAATCTAACAAATAAATTCATTAAAAGTTCAAAAAGTTCTCTTTTCAATTTATGTATATAAGGAGCTTGTTGTTGCAAATTATTATTTACTGTTATAAACAAAGGCAAAGTATTTTTCAAAAATAACAAGTACAATTTGGTGGTCGGTCACTGTAAAATTTTTTTAATGTTTTGCAATCTCTTTCCTTCATTCTCACTGTTATCTGGTTTATCCAAATTCAAAAAAATTAAATATCACAGCATCCCACTGTTCCAAAATCCTTGTTATAGATTCTAAAAGAGACAACCATCTCGTATTGCAATATTTCAAAATTTTATGAGATTTTGCATTCTGTCCCAAAATTTGTTGAGCAACTTTGAAGCTATGCTTCCGTTTCGAACTTTTCTCCAAGTAAAAATATATATCTATTATCAACATTTCAATTTCTGAGCCAATTAATTTTTCAGTAGCTTTTTTTGCAGCTATATGCAAGAGGTGGCACGGACAACCTCGGGTGATTATACTTGGTTGATGCATTTTGATAAATGATGCTACACCTTTAAACTTTCCAATCATATTACTAGCATTATCTGAAGAAAATGATAAGCAATTTTTCCATTCTAAACCTTTGTTTTTAAAGTTTTCATTTATACAATTAAAAATACCTTCTCCTGTATTATTCGTGCATTCTAAAATAGAAATCAATGAAGTAATTATCACTCCCTTTTCTTTACTGTAGTATGTTATAACCAATGGGTACAGTTTGTTGTCATTGTTATCATTACTTCCATCAGTACTTAGAGAAAATGATGTACTGCACACTGATTTTATAATATCAGCAACAGTATTTTCTGCAAGCGTTTTCACAATAGCAGCAGTTTTGGTATGACCGCAGCTAAATTTTTTTGCTATGGCAGAATCCGGAAACATTGCTTTGAAAAGCTCTTTGGAATGATCCGAAACAGAAAGCGATAGATTATGTTCAATTAAAAAACGAACAAAATAGCATTCGGCTTTTATAGGATCTGTTTCATCATCTTTATTAAGAAATTTGTTATTTCTTTAGATTTTACGGTGCCAAGTTCTATATGCTTTTGAGAAAACACATGCCGTTTACAGTCATCTTTTCCGCCATGAGCAACTGAGAAGTCTTTGTTGCATACACTGCAGTGTGCGTGATTCACCGAAATTTCGGACGCTTTAATGCATGGAAATTCTGAAGAATATGAATCTTTAAACTTCTGCTTTGATAATTTTGGCTTCTTCGTTCGAGGCAGCATTATGATTAAAAATCTTTCACCTGATTCACAGTTCACAAGACACACGCTAAGCTCTCGCCGTAAACTACACAATGCAGCCGAATGCAGCCTAAACACGCATCAGCAAGGAACCTGGGAGACAGACAATTGGGTGGAACTATTGATAAGTCGTTAACGGTTGGAGTTACTGATCTACGATTGGCTAATTCTTCAAAACTAGGAACGCACTCAACACGTGATATATGATAACACGAGTATTCAGCCAATCATCGGATGAATTAGTTGGTTCCGTTTTGCGTACTGGTTCTCCTGCTCTTGTTTCTGTAAAATCCGTAGTTTTTTCCAAGCTCGTAGTTTTTCATGAATTTCCGTGGAAACTACGGAGAATCCGTAGTAGTTGGAGTCTATGAATTCATTTTATTAATATCTATAAATTTTCTACATAAATATATAGTGCATTCTCACTCTGAGTGGAAATTGTGCAACTGTCTCTCTCATCAGAGTGAAGGAAGGGGAGTCGCATGACCTCTGAATAGCGTTTTTCTTCTGCTGTTGTTTGTTATTTTTAAATCTGGATTTTGTCAAAAAGCGTGTACTGTGTTGCTTTCTTGATGGAAGTGCTTTTCTTCTAGAACTCTAATTTCTTGCAGGCACAAAACATCTGGTAGATGTTGCTTAGAACTTGCTAACTATTTTCTCAGAACATTCGAAATTGAAGCTTGTATGCAAATTTAGATTTTAACATATACAGGCTGTTTTTATTTGAAGCATCAAATTGAATAAAACAACATACAAAATGTCTCAATAATCCTCATTTTGGAGTTTCAGAACTTTGGTAGATTAAGATCATAGTTTAAAAACCTAAAATTACAAAAACCATTAACCATGAGAAAGTTATATTTTGATATACAAGTTATTACCTTTTTCTACTGAAAACTGATGTATACTATTAAAATACAGGCATTGGTTATCTAATATGCCTAAAAATGTTACAAAAGAAAAAGTACATGTTTTTATGCACATATCTGTTAGTTATTATCCCCTTCAGGACGAGTATCATATATGCATCAGCAGTTAATCCTTTTGCGAGATGGCATGCCACTTAGGGCAACTCACCTTAGAGACGGTGTGTTGTTGCAATTGACAAGACAGGGCATTTTGCGTCGCTAAGCCCAACTTTTAAAAGAAAATCATTAAAATTACTTTTTATCAACTGTTTGATTTTTTTCTGTAAGGGTATCTAACACTAATATAACCATAAATACAGAATATCAAGAGATTCTGAAAAAAAAATTAATTAAAATCTACATACAAGACAAAATATTTGATTCATCTTGATGAAATGTAAAAAAACTTTTAAATCTCTATCTAAACATACGTAAAAAATAATAAAATATATGATCAAATATTAGAGCTTGAATGATTCAGAAAGGAGATCACGTGTGATAATCTAGTCGCTATCATTTCATTAGTTATGAAACATATTTTCA